ACGCGCTGCTCTGTCGTCTCAAGCCGTTTGTCCAAAACCAGCTCCTCGTTCCAAAGGGAGGAGAGCGGGCAGGTGGCTGCCGGTGGGCACAGCCAGTGCTGGGCACAGCGGGAGCCGCTCCGTCAGGAGGCCGCCGGTGTCCGCACTGTCGGAGAGCTGCAGCGAGGCGCTGAGGGCCCCGGTGTGGTGATGCTGCCCCGCTCCCGAGCACAGGACCAGTCACACGAGTGGTGGGCCTCCCCAGAGCGCCCAGTGTCTGCCCCAGCTGCRGCGGTCACTAATGTTTCTGCCGCGKTTATGTGAATGATTATGGTCTGTGTGGGCACAGGGGAGTGACCTTATCATGAATCTAAGTTATCCTTCCTGTTTAGCGCCTCTCTCTGAACAAGTGGAAGGCTTCGGATGACGGGAGTGATGATTGTAGACAGGGTAACACTCTTGAGTACCAGCAACTTCTGGAAAAACATATATGCATAGACTTATAAAACCTGCATTTTTATAAAGATGATTTCTATATGTGTGTGTGTTTACATACATATGTCAAATTTAACCCTTATCCTTGTAAAGTGGGGGAGTCGAGGCTGTCCTTCTGGTGAAGGAACAYGCTTGCAAGTTTGTCACTCCCTCTTCCCACCCATGAAGAACGTCAGCCAAAATGTTCTGTTTGCTTTTGAGATTCCTGGAGAGCCTGTACCACCCAAAATGCCTTTTGCCAAGAACCTCTGTGGGAGGGGAGAGGTGGAAGGGGAAATGAGCCTTGCACGTAGGGAACAAGGTCGCTTCCTTTTGTATGCTGCTACTTTAATTAATTGGAGCTGAATCTCTTGTCCTGGCAAGAAAGAATGTGACTCAAGGATGGATTTGACTAGAATATGCATTTGAGGGGAGTATGTGGTTTGTGGGTGTTGTTTTTTCTTTTTTTCCCTTAGAAGCTGAGGGGAGTGTGTCTTGCTGCAGCAAGTCTCCTGTGAGGTCTTGGCCATCATTTCATCCCTTGCCTCAGAGCACAGAGATTTTTGTTCACTTGTCTGTTYTTCATATCGTGCAGTGGTCTGAAAGGTGCCTGAATGCTTCATATTCATCCCCGAAGTGCACCCGTAGAGGCAAGCAGAGCAGCTCCCCTACCATGTAGTAAGTGCAGTAGTTCCAGGATGCTCTGGAGGCTTTCCCAAAGGAACTTCAACAACTTCGCTGAACGTGGGAGTTCGGCRCTTTCTGGAGTTTGTGTCTCTCCCAGATTGTGCTCTAAGGAGAGAAGCACCTAAAGCTGCTAGCTGCTCATGGCAAATGACGCTTCTCCCACCGCCAGCTCGTTTATTGTGCAACCCAGTGATGTCCCTGTGACTGCAGGATTGTTYCCAGTGACACAGCAGCGCTTCCATCTCCCGATTCCTGTGGTGCAGGCAAGATGAAGGATAACGGGAAGGGTTTAAGGAAGAGTTGCTAGGAGTGAGGAACCACAGACGATGAAGGAAAAAGGTGCCTCTCCTCCCAAGGACAATGCCAGGTGTCCTAAAACTCTAGGCAACATTTTCATACATCAGAGACAAAACTGGGATTTTTGTTCGCCCTCTGCCTTGACCAGGTCACCCAGTGTTAATACACTGTATGCAACCTGCAGAGGCGCCCCGTGGGGGCTGCGTGGGGCTGCGGGCYGGCCTGGGCAGCGCTCGCGCCGGGACGTCCCCCGTGGGTCCCGCAGCAGCAGCGGGGACGTTGGCGCGGGCCGGGTCCCCCTCGGCCGGCACGTCTTGCTGAGCAGCTGCCTCACTTGCAGCGCCTGGGGTGGCGGCGGGGGCCAAGGTCCAGCTCTGCGCCGCGCTCRGATAAAATGCGCCCGTGTTGCTCACAGTCTTGCACAGTGCCGTGGCAGGGAAGCACAGGATCCTTCATGGAATGAGGCTCCTGTGGAAACGGGCTGTGTGCCTGACCACGCACTGCTGGGCTCTTGGCAGGACTGACATAAACTGCTCCTGTCACTAYCCAGCCATATTTTTATGCTTCCCTAGCAATGTCTTCCTAAAACTTTTTAAAGCTTCTTCAGAAACCAAACACCTAATATTAAAGAGCCAATCCTAATATTTTTGCTCTTATTTTTCTTTTTGTTTGTAGCTGAGCTACAGACTGGTAAAGGAGAGGTTTTGAAATCCCCAGGCAAAAGCTGGTTTGCAGTGCTTGCGTTTGGGAAATACGCCGGGCTCGTCTTGCCTGCAGTGCTGAGGCTCCGGCTGCTGCTCGTGCGTCTCGTCGCGTGTGCAGTGCTCTCGCACCCTGGCATTAACATACAAATCTTGGGCTGTGGTTATTATTTAAAAAGAATAATAATAATAATAAGCCCAAAGGTAGCACTCCTTGATTTCTGCCATCAATCCTGCTTCCTTAGGGAAAAAAAAAAAAAAAAAAAAAAAAAAAAAAAAGGAAAAGGAAGAACAAGTTTGGAAGTGCTTAAAGCAGCCGCGATACCGATTTCGCTGGGAGCCGACAGCAGCCTCTGGCTGGCAGCGGAGGAGGAAGTGGAAAGTTGAGCACRGAGGTTACAACTGACCCGGCCGCCCGCGGTGCCGGGAGCAGCGCTGACGTCCTCGCGCCCTGCTTGTTTGTTTGCCTGTTTGTTTGCTTTCCAGAAGGCAAATCCAAAAGTTCCAGTCGTTTTCTTGAAGGTGCCAAGCTGCTCGTTACACTGTGCTCTAGCGCATCCCTCAGGGTCTGCTTTGCGTAGCTAATATTTAATCTCTGATTTGAAGGAAGGCTTCACGTTACAGTGTAAAGAGCCCGTGAAACTGTGAACTCATCGTCTGACAAATGACTGCAGACAGTAACCTGGCTCTGAGCCTCAACGTTGCTCTTTATTTAATTCATCTGCAAAGGGGAATAATATCAGTGAAAGGGGCCCGTGCCAGCTAGGAGCAGTGGTGGTCGAGGTCAGACTGTCTTCTCTGCATCTCCCAGGGCTGTCTGTAGATGCCAGGGCTCTGGCCATCTCTCCTGTTTTTTGTTTCACGTAAGGATGACAGAATGAAAATCAGGAGTGGTTCATTGTCAGGTTTTACTCCAAACTRCAAGAATTTGCTGGGCTAAAATTGTTCTGTGCAGTCCCCTAGCTGTGTAGTCTAACCTAAGGGAACTAGGTAAGGGTGAGAAAATTACCTTCCTGGTGAGGTGAAGCTTTAATTAATGCTTATGAAGTTACTTTAGGGATTTTTGATGAAGTCTCACAGGTAATAAATATGTGATGTAATCTTACCGTCTGCCTGCCTGCAGGAACTGTCCATTATTTTGAGTCTTTTAGCGTCAAATTTGGTTCTGCATTTTCTGTTTTGTAGTAACAGCAGAAATGAGACTACAGTTAATGGAAACTCTTTAAAAGGGATTTTWAAAATCCTCCCTTTTTATAGATTATGATGCTCTGTGCCATTAGAGGATCACTGACTTTTTTTAATATTTCTTGGGTAGGGAGATAYGTGTTTGTCCAGCTGTGTGTGAAGATGTTGGCTTGTGATAGAGCAGGAGCCAGTGATAAAGTTTAGTCTCAAACATTCTGGTAATTTTGGAAAGTGAACAAACTTTATGTTGCAAACTTGTTTTAATTTTTACCTTTTTATATTTTATCTTTCCTCTTTTGTGTTATGTAATTGATTTTTTATATCAACATGGAATTAGAAAAATAATAAAACTTTATAAAAACATGTATGCGCTCTGATAAAAAAGGCAACATCTGTAGTCYGCAGTGAGTAGAGCAGTGCAGGAGGAGGGTGCACAAGGATGCATAACCAAGGAGGAGTTGAGCTGTTCTCCAGGAGCAACCTCCTTGAGTTTGAAAGCATCCAGGTGCTATTCAAGGTGATAAACTGTCTCCTCCTTTACGTGGAAGGAGTTGACACCTTTTCTGTTAGTTCCTAGAGGCTTCCATGGGGGATGGAGAGTGCGGAGTGGGTATTTTTTAAGAGAGGAAAAATCACCGTTCTCAGCGGAAGGGGAAATCTGTCCACRGAGGCAGCGCCTCCTTATGTCTCTGGACCACAAAAAGAGACTGGTTTGTGTAGGTGAAGGTTGTGGCCCCTTTGCTATGGACGTCCATGGTGTTGTGAGAAACGTGCCTGCCCTGTGGCTGAGGGAAAAAAGCCTTTTTGGAGAGGGCAGGAACGCGGGAGCTGAGCGAGGGGCCRGTGCCAGGAGCGTTGCGGCGGGCAGCAGCACTGCGGCCTCTGTCAGCACGGATGCCAAGACGCCTAAATTCACTTTATTAGACGAAGAAAAGATCCCTTCCTTATTGAATTTTCAGAAGTCAGTGTCTGCGAGTGGTGAGAGTGACCAGGAAGGGTAGCTGGTTTCTGCCCAGCCTTTGCCACAGCCCCATGGATGAACCATGATAGTCTTGGAATAGCCTGAGGGAAGGAGAATGTCTGGCAGGATACAGGGAGATTTCAGCAGGGGAATTGGCCACCAGAATAGACAGAGGTGACAATGGAGGACGGGGGGGAAATGGGGAGGTTTTAACTATGCCTCAAGAATTTGGGTCAGTGGAAGAAAAGGCAAAAATAGCTTGTGACRGGGAAGAGAGAAGCCGTGGCAGAGAAGACAGAGCGACATAAGTGGAACACTTGGAAGTGACAGGGCTGCATGGGGACCTTTGTAGAAGGTTGTTTCGTGTTCTGCTTTCCAATTGCRTACCTGTTAGCCTGCTTGTTTAAGGGCCTCATAAAGCATGGTAGATGCATATCTGAAAGGCAACATATATAAGTTAGGATGTAATTAATGTCTATGAAAAGGAATGTTCTTAYTTAGTTACAGCAGGGAACTGCTCTTCAGCTCTTCCACTGGCTCTCAGGGACTGGAAGAAGGAACATTAATTCCCATTTTATCCCAGAGGAATAGGATGGCTCTGTTAACAGCTGAAACATGCTTGGGGACAAGTCAGCTATCTGCATTTATTTCACTTTTAACCAAAATTTTGACTCAGTACAGATTTAATTACCATCTCTCTTTTTTTTTTTCCAGTTACCATTTCTTCAACTGCAGAAAAAGGTAATTTCTTTTTTAAGATTTAAATAATTTTGTTGTATACTAATATAAGTAATGTATTCCTTTATGTGTAAGGTCTGTATAGTGAATATATTGGCACTAAGAAATCAGGTCAATATTGTGGGTCCCAGTCTGTTGAATGTCTAGGACCACAAGCTTGAGATAGTGACAAGACCTGTGWGTAATGTAACCATAATTTAGGTGTGCAGGTATTTTTAAATAGGTTAAGTCTTAATGTTTAAATAGCACCTTCTAAGAAGAGGAAAAAGGGAACACAAAAAGAACTGCAGCAGATCAATAAGACCATTTTATGTTTATTCGTCAAGGGATGTTGAATAGTGTTCTTACCACCTTCTGGCRTCTTCCAACTTGGAACCACTTTAGAAGAGTTGTGGTTCTACTGCTTGCTGTTTTTCAGAGTTTCCCAAATTCTGTAAAACTCCATTCTTCAGCTTTGATTATAACTGTGCATAGCCACAATAATTTCAAACGTGACCACACATTATCATTCTGAGTGTCCAGATGAAGTGGGTTATAGCCCTGCATTGACAAATTCTACTTAAGTCTTACTATTGCTTTTGGCAGATATATGAACTAGAGAGTACTACTTATTGAAGTATAAATTGACTAAAGAAATTCCAGAATTCTTGATCTTCACTTCTTTGTTGTGAACAAAAACTAGATTAATGGATGGCATCGTTCCATTCCGGTTCAAATTTTATTTCCATAAAGCTCTGGCTTTTTTTTTGACAGAAACACAGAAAGACCAATAGGACTTCTGTGTGAAAGTTTAATTTATGGTGGGTGGACTTGAGTCATTGTCTCCTACTATTTTATAAGCATAAGTTTGCAGTTCCACCATCCACATGATAACTTACTGTTACTGTCCTTAGAGTATGAAGCCATTGATGAGACATTGTCACCTCTCACATAAAGAGTGAGGAATTTGGAGGTAACCCTCCAGTTTACTTCCCAATAAGAACATCCAGGAAAAGCAGAAGAGGAGGAACCTTGAGAGAATCTCTTCTTGTAATGAAAACAAGATCCATGCCTCTGTTAAGGAAGCCTTTCCAAACAATGCCCTTGGCACAGTGTAGCCAGATCCCTGGCTTTAATTTGGATGCAGTGCCCATTTCACGGAAGCAGGCTCTCTTGGATCTGCTGGAAAAGAAAAACGCTTGATTGATTAATGAGACTGATGGTATCTTTGAAACCTGACTGTTCAGCTTTTAACAGCAATCACTCACATGCTGGTACCCCGGGTCTAAAGAAAGCCACTGGAACCCTTCAGATGTAGTTCTTTGCCACAGAGGTTGATCTAAAAATGAGATTCTTTGTGTTCACTTTTCTGGAGTGTAGTGGTGGTTGGTTTTTTGGTCTCTCACTAAACATTGAAGTTTTTTCTTACTTTTCAGAAGTATCTGACTGTCATACTCAACATATATGTCTGACAGCACTTACCTAACTATCTCCTTTGTTCTTGTTTCACAGCTTTTAAGCGGGAGGGGAAATTATCTTAATAGGGAAGTCCTCAGAACCAACATAATCTTTGACATAGTTATGGAGTTTATCAATAACTCACCTTGAGGAATAGCAGTTATCACATTTGGTATTTTAGGGGTTGTTTTTTATTTATTTGTTTGATTGATTATTTTAAGTATGCCCTCCTGTAGACCCACAGAAGTTTAATGTAATTTAATCTTAGCAGATGATTCATAATGTAATAATTTCATCCTTATCAGAGAGAAGTTCCTATCTTTTGTTCTTTTCAGATATACTCACCCAACTTTTACTTGTGTTTTATTGCAGCTGTCTACCTTGTGGTTTTTCATCTGTCATTTTTCATGTTTGTATGGTCCTACTGGAAGACAATTTTCACATCTCCTGCATCCCCCACCAAGGAGGTAAATCTGACATTAGAAAAATGTCCCTCCCTTTTTTTTTTTCCCCTTTTTAAATAGCTGAGCTGTTCTCAGTGGTGAAACCTGTTTGYAGTGCTGCTGCATGATTCACCTTCGTGTTCTTATTATCTAAAATAGTGCAGCATGACAGCAAAYCATGAATGAAAGTCATCAAATTGCTCTTAAAACATTGTATCCTATGTTGTAGTGACAGTATCGTATATGAAATRTGTGTTTAATTCATCACAAGTTTGACATGCACATATATGTGCTAATGAGATAAAAATGTGAAAGTATTTCAGGGGTTATAGCACTTTGCTATGCAGTAATTTGTATACCACTCACATTTTTTAAAACCAATAAATCAAATACAATGACAACATTTTTGTATTTCCATTGTAGGCAATTTTTACCTCTTAGGGGAAAGAGAATTAGTAACACAGTGAAAACTCATACTTTGGAGCACTGAAGTGCTTAGAAGTAAATCGAGTTCTGTGACAACTGAGAAGGGAGTATATAAAAGGACTTTATGTAATGACAAAAGAATGGATGATAACTGTAACAAATTTTGTTTTCAAAGAGAATAGTGTTAATTGCAGTGACCCCAGAATGTGCTATCTGATCTGTTTTCTCTAGTGGTGTATATACGGATTAAGTAGTGGCACCAAATTAAAAAATACATATATCCTGGAGTTTCATAAAGCTTTTAAATTAGCTAACTGAGGTTTAGGTTGCTCTGTGGGGTTTGCACATTCATTGTATTTTTGGCTAGAGTGACTTTCAGTGCTAATGACTTAGCCTTAAGCATTTCTGCAAGGAAGTAAAAGCATGTTTCTGCAGTGCCTAACTACTACTTAGGTATTTTTATCTTAGAAAGCTACAGAATATAAGTTGAAAAAATACCATTCTACTCTTTAGCTAAGCAAAAAGGATAGTACTGAATAGTTAAACCTGAAAATTYAGAGGAGTTTTTCTCCAGGGTGATTTGTCTGGCTTTATGATTTATCTACAGAACCRTCTCAGAAAGTGTTTAACAGGTTGGCCAACTAAAATGTGACTGCAGTTGTGTTACTCCAAATCTTGTAAAGCTATGTAAATTTAGGCTGCTGGTAGAGCTGACGTCTAATAATGTTTTCTGCCTACTTGGAATCTTTAAYAATGGAATCCTTCTTCATACAATACCTGTACTGTAGTTAATGTTGTGGCAATATTGCCATATTCAATGCACGAAAGGGATGATTTGGGCATATGGGACACGATAAATATTTCCTATTCTAAGTGTGYGGGAGGAATCAGATCTAATATGTACATCTATAGCTACCTAAAAAAAATAGCCCTCAGAAAACACTTTTCTTTCCCCGCCGTTCATGTTCTAGTAAATAACTTAGGCTGGTTTTGTTTCAAAACAAAATCTGGCTTCAGAATTTCCCCATTGTACCAGAGTGTTAATGTATATATTTTTAGTTATTTAAATTAGGTATTCTTTCGAAACAAATAGCATCCTGTGATCTTACTACTGAACTAAAAAAAGATGCTGCAGCTGTTGTTGTCCTAGTGTAATCCCTGTGCATTTGTCATAAGGAAGAACAATCAACATTATGCAAGATCCAAAAAGGAAGGAAACAAAGGGACTCATTCTGTTTTCAATAAGAACTACTGGAACCTCTTTGGAAATGGTTAGCTATGTGGTAATAGACAACTCTGGATGTTTTTGAACATACATATCCTGCCATTGTCCAAAGAGGCTGCAGTCTTGTGTGCCTATTGATTTCTGAAATTAGAACAGAAACATAGCTTTGGGAAACTGAAATCCTCATCCAGGATTTTTGGAGTCATGTTTCTGAACAAATGCAAAAAAGTTAATCCTTGTGACCTACTTTCTATTCTGTATGTTAATAGTTTGCCATAGAAATGACTTCTAGAAGTAGTATTTCCTGTCTGATGCATCTTCTAATTGATTATGGGTCATGGGACAGGCATTTGGCCACCTAGCAGGMTCCCAGGAGGCAATAAGGGAAAGGCATTTGCTCTGCTGTTAGCTGGCATAATGTTTTGTATGTCTTAAATTTTTAATGCGAGAATCTCTAGTTTTCATAGAAGAGTAAGCCTCTAGCCGAGAGATGGATATAAATACCCTTGCTGATGACCTCAAAAAATAAATCTCAAGTTGAGCATTTTAGTAGATTGAGTCTAATTTCTGATGATTTGAAAGGGTTTTGGGGGCATAGAAGACAGAGTTTTGGTCACAGAAGGCCTTGAACTGCCCTGTGGTTGGACGCAGTCATTTCCAGGTGGCTCTTGAATGGAYTAAAACAGCCCCCCATGCACCACAACGTTGGCTCAGAGGAGCACGTGATCCCTCTGCCAAAACTGAACGTGAACATAYTGTAAACTTCACCTCCTGCCCCTGTAAAAAACAAACCCAAGAAAGTTGCATTTGCACCTATATCCATTATAAACTCCACCCCTTATCTTCACTGACTAGACTATTAGATTTGACTCTGAATATTATTCAGGCCTTGTGCCTTGAATATTCACTGTGCTTTAGCATACATCCCAGTGATTAAGGCTGTATGAGCAGCAAGTACCATCACCACCGGAGGCACCTGTAGGTTTGTAACATACCCACAAAGGGTGGTGAAGACTTGATGGAGTGGGAGCATTTCCTTATTAAAGGAGAGACTGGAACACGCTCTGCACCTTCTGACTGCATTAAGTGAGCTCTCATCTTTCCCTTGCAATTCCTTTCAGTCCCACTTAATCATATCCTCCCCCTCCTTTTTTCAGCRACATCCTTAATGTTGTGTAGGACGRGGACAAGTCAAAATTTCACTCCTCCTTGATACCTTCTTTCAAGGCTGACCATACTGCTGGATTCYACATCATTTTCAGCCCTGTTGCTTATCTCACACCGTTTCCCCCAGTACTGAATTTACGCACAGCATAGACTTTTAAGGACTGCTCTGGGTACTGAGAAGGAAAGAAGGCCATTAAGCCAGCACTTAGGGAAACACCCTTCCTTCGCCCTTCCCTGGGCTCAGCTTCCCCTTCCCCATCTCCACTGCTCTTCATTTTACCCAATGTTTTGCTCCCTGCCCTCAGTGAGGCGACAGGCRCTGCCCCTGCCCTGGCAGTGCTCCACATGGCCACATTCCCCTTCTCTCTCACGTCCCCTGCCCTGCCCTCTCCATTTCCCAGCAGTTATGGCTTAAATATATTTGACAAGAGCCACTCTGTGCTCCTCTGGCTGAAGYTCTGGCACACGGTGGGTTGTTTCCCTCAGTTGTGGAGCTGGGGGAACAGGCTGTGACAGGGCAGCGCGTGACCTCATCCCACAGCCCTGCAATCCCAGCCCTGCCAGGAATGCCCAGCAGAAGAGGCCACGTTTCATACCCCACCCTTAAATGGCTGAGCAGGCATATGTATATATTATATATGTACATATGTAGTGTGTATGTATGTATATATGCAATGCGCTTATCTAGATTCCCTGGAACATAAGTGACTTATTTGCTTTCTAGATTAGGAAATAACATGGCACAACCAGAGCAGTGTGCTACTGCTTCCTCTTTCCCTGTAAACAGGGTCTTTGTTGGTGCTTGCCGACCAACTAGAATCCAGGAGAGGAAAAAGTACAGGATGAGAGGAAAATCCACATGAGCTAATGATATAGATGCTCTTGATAGGAAAATATGGTCATATTAAACCACATTAAGCCATTTTTTTTGTTCCARTTGCAGACGCAGCATTTTCTGCTCACCAGCATGAATACTTTGTCTATGTGTGCTTATAAAAAGGGCTCTTGTAGTCCTTGCTGGAAGTTCAGAGTTTAAAAGTGCTCCAGAACAGAAAATAGCAGAGAAATAGTGAGTTCAGTGTGTGATGACACCATTCCATAGGTAGTCATCTGTACACTTGTTCTTTTGTGGAGCTTAATGGTAAAGCTTTTAATTTCAGTGGATAAAATATTAGTATTTCAGAAATAAGAAAAAAATCTCTCTGGCTTAGTCTGTTGAAGCTTTACTTTTCAGCTTAAACAGGAATGCTTCTTGTGCTTAATGCAGGATTGTAACTCTCCCTGAAATTCCACAGGTTTTGTTGAAGCTGCTCTCAGTACCGCTAACAGATTTTAAAGCCAGTTTTGACTACTACTAATTAAAATTTCAGTTAAACACATTCAACTTCTGTGCTGTGAAAAGTTGCTCTTTACCCTGCACCCCCTTCTTTCTCTGGCTTGTAGCCTTTTTAAAGTCAGCAGGATAGCAGGTAAGAGAACTTCAGTGTCTTACAGCAACAAAGGACGCTTGTGCATTCCTCCGGCTCACAGATCATTTAGATTTTACACTCATGGTGATTTCAAGGAAGGTTTGCGCCTTCTTAACGTCCTCCTGAATCTCTGACTTTTGCGTTGCAAAAAGAAACTTAAGAGATGATAAGTAAGAGAGGATGATTCTCTGTGAGACATCACTAGTGTACGTTAAAGATACCATCATGTCCTTTCCAGTTGTGTTTTTGAGGATCTCCCGAAACTTAGTAGCATTCAGTCTTTCTTCTTTTTTTTTTTTTTTTTTT